GCCTCTTCCCCCTCCACCCCCACCTGGGCCTGGGGCGTTTGGACGCTCAGAATGTAAATAACTCATCCTAAACTGGTGCACCCCAGGGGTGATGTGCTTAACCAGTTCAGGATGCTGGCTTCCAGGCTCAGGGACTCAGCAGGATGAGTGGCCAGAGAACCAGAGTGAGAGGCAGAAAGCGATCCAGAGCAAACAGTGTCACACACAGGTGTTAACTAACTACGTAACTCAAGTGGAACTAAGCAGGCATTTGAGCCAGGTTCCCTGGACCCTGGCGAAGGAAGACCCCACCCTCCTCCCAGCTCCCCCAAAGCTTTGGACTCCTTCTAATCCTCCACACTTGTCAGGGGCTTTAAGACTCCCTAGAACAGAGGCAGCCAGCACAGCGGTTTCCTGGCCTATGCCCTTTTCATGAACCATCTGGGGAAATACTCATTTCACAATTTTGCTAAATCAACTTACATTTTTTAAAAACTTAAATAAGAGCCCTGGACAGTGTTTCTCAGTGGTTGGAGCATCAGCCCACGCACCAAAAGGTCACACCTGGGTTAAATCAATCCCAGCCCAGGTTGGGGCAGCAAGCGGGAGGCAACCAATGGATGTGTCTCTCTCATCTCTCTTCTCTCTTTCTCTCCCCACCTTCCTTCCCTCCCTTCCACGTTCTCTAAAAATCAATGACAAAATCTCCTCAGATGAAGATTAGCAAAATCAAACAAACAAAAAACCTTAAATAACAGTATTTAAAAAGAAAAGTTACCAATGTACATGTAAATGGAAAACCAGTAATGCATGCCATTGATGGCAAGTCTAAAAATACATGCAAAGGGGGAAAAAGCAAAATAATGAAATTCTCCCCAATTACAGTTGCCTGGAGAAGGGTCTTGTTAAAAAAAGAAAGTGGAAGCCTGGCAAGTGTGGCTCAGTGGTTGAGCATTAACCTAAGTCCAGGAGATCACCATTCGATTCCCGATCAGGGCACATGACTGGGTTGTGGGCTCAAGCCCCAGTAGGGGGCGTGCAGGAGGCAGCCAATCAATGATTCCCTCTCATCATTGATATTTCTATCTCTCTCCCTCTCCTTTCTTCTCTGAAAGTAACAAAAATATATTTAAGAAAAAGCGGGGGCGGGGGGTGGGGGGCAGTGGGAGAAGAGGAGAGAAGCGTTAAGGAAGGGCATGGTAGCCCCTGAAGCAGACTTGCTCTGAGGAAGCGATTTGAAAAGCAACCTAAAGGGAGTAATTTTCTCACGGCTGGATGCTAGGGCGGAACAAACAGAAAACTGAGCTGGGAAACAGGTGTTTTCAGCCCGTGTTTGGACTGCATAGTATGAGAGTCAGCCTGGGGAGGGAGCAAGTGGGCAACTCTTTCCAGCTGTTTGAAGAGGTAAACATTTCCAGGAGAAAAAATCTTCCCAGTAAACAATTATAGCCTTAACTGTTGTGCGGGGTGGGGGGGGAGGGGGCGAGGAGGTGATTTAATGATCAGATCAGACTATTTTCAAGTTGTGTAGCCTTAAATAAGCCAACTTCTCTGAGCCTCATTTTCCTCTTCTGTAAAATATGAATAATAATAATAACCCTTATAGGGCTGCTTTCAGGGTTAAATGACCCTATGACAGCTGCATGGCACAGTACCTGGCCCCTATAAGCCACTCAATGAATGAGGACATTTGAGGGACAGCCTAGGGTGTGTAAAGATGGGAGGGTCTTGGGCATCCACCGAGCTGGGTTTGGGTGAATGACTTTGGGGTTTTTCCATGTATACAATGGGCCTCGAGTCTGTGTTCTATTTCAGGTGCGGACAGGCCTCCTGATGAACCTGATGGGCATCATGATACTCAACATGGCCATCAATACTTGGGCACAGCCCATCTTCCAACTGGGCTCCTTCCCGGACTGGGCCCAAGACCACTTAACCAATGTCACGGGAAAGCCACCCTCATTGGTGGCCAACGACACGTTACTTGCCCTCTGAGTCCTCCTTGGAGACTCTGGGCCGGGCCCTCCCAGAAGGCTTTACCAGTACCTGCTCTTAGGATCAGACAGGGTGATCAAGCAATTCTCTGTGATCCAGTAGGCAACACGCAAGGGTAACCTCCGGTGGTCCACTTGGGTCAGCAAGTTCATTACCTAGGACACCTTCTCCTCGCTCATGCAGCTCAGGACTCAGATATTTCCCAGATCTCAAGCTCCTTTATCTCTGAGCTGGACTGTGGTTAGGATGCAAGAGGGCCCAACTCCAGCAACAATAAATAAATCTAGAATTGCATTTGTCTTGAACAGTTGGGGTGGGAATCTATCCATCCCCAAGGGCACAGTGAACATTCCCCACTGACTACTGTAGGTTGCACTCTGGACACACCATCTCGCCTTTAGGGGCCACCTTCCTTGGAGACCTGTCCCAGCTGCTCACAGCTGATACATGTTCACTTCAGTGGGTGCCTGTTCTGCACCAGTTGTTTGACTATTTCCCCTATTGAAACCCAGCAGCCAGGGGAATTTTCAACCCATGGAGCCAGGGGGAAGGGGAGAAGGGGTCAGAAGGGACAGATGGCCTCCTGAGGACACGGAGACTTGCAGAGCCTCCTTCCTGCTTCTCCGAGCTCCCAAGCACACGAGGGGAGTTCTAGAACCCCCGCTGACATCTCTACCTAAGCTGTTATGATTCTGTTCAATCTGATTCACTGTGGCCATATTTCTGGAGTTGGGCCAAGCCTGGGCCCTGCCCTCTTGCAGGTGACTCATGGCTCCTCCAGCCAGAACCCACCTGCCTGTGGCCCGCAGAGGCCCGTGTGGCTGCTGGCTGCTGGTTACTCCGCAGCTGGTTCCAACCCTACCCCAACTGGCAAGGATGTTTGATTAGCAAAGACCATATTTTCCAGGGAGGAGAGGAAAGTCAAGAGAGAAACTGGGGACTTGCAAAGGGCCAGGGTGACATGTCGCAAGCAGGCCAAGTATCACAATCCTCTTTCCAGACAGGGCCACTGAGACTTCCCGAGAGCCAGTGGCTGGCGGGCTCTCCTCGGGGATTCCGTCACTGCTGGCTTCAAGCAGAAGTATCTGGGCATCTCCAGTGAACAACACAGTCCGGGGCCCTGCGGATGCTCAGCAAGTGTCTGTGGAACGAGTGGCCCGGCATTAGCATAGATAGCACCGGCAAAGGCACCCCGAGGGCCCCAGAGCCTCACCTCTCCCCTTCCTGCACCTCCGAGGGATGAGGTTCCCTGAGCAGCAGCCTGGGCCTGGAAGGCAGTCCCCAGAGACTGAACTCACCCGCAGTACAGCAGGAGTGAGTCATGGATGTTTCCCTGGAAGCAGGCTCCTTCCCAACTGAGTAGAATGTCAGTATTTAGTCACAGTTACAGCCCCGGGGGTGAGGAGTGGGAGAAGGTGTGTTCCCTGTGGGACAGGGCAGGAGAGAAGTGCATTCACAGAGAAACCCATGGAACTTATAACCAGATGAACTGTGATTTCAAGTACTTCTGATTGAAAATGCTATAAAATAAAGGATGTTAATCAACACTGGCCCTTTAGATTTTTTTTGCTGTTCTGGGCATCGAAGAGCTTCAAAGCCCCAAATTCCTGAGAAGGGAGTTTCACAGAATTGATTTCCCTGATCTCACTTTCTTACTGCTCTCTGCTCTACTCCAGCCACATACGCAACACCTTCTGCCTCAGGGCCTTTGCACATGCTGTTTCCTCTGCCCAGAACCCTTTGCTCCCAAATATACTAGTACACTGGTTTCTTCGCCTGGTCTACCTCTGGCGGCACAGGCAGAGAGAACACTGAGTGTGGAGGGCAAACAGAAAAGGGGTCATGGAAGGTTTAAATCATATTAGAGCTTGCAACTAGCAGTCCCCAGGATTGCCTCCAGCCCACAGGTTCTTCCCCCCCTTCCCCTTCCCCGCTTCCGTGAGTTTTAAACTATTGATTTATTGCTAACATTTTCAATTCAGGAGATTTCACATTAAAACCTGGATTTATGCTTCTCCTGGAAAGGAAAATACCAGATCATATTGCTATCTGGCAACAATTGTTTGGAGTTGAGTAATTGTGGTGGGAGAACTTAAGTTGGAAGGTGAACCTCTGGTTTGCCACAGTTCCCACCACTCCTTAATGTACGACACCGGCTCCCTTCATTAGACTCTGGCACTTTCCTGGCTTCTGAAGGCATTTGTGTCTATGACTCCTGAGCAACATGACCTAGGGCAGTGGTTCTCAACCTTCCGGCCCTTTAAATACAATTCCTCATGTTGTGACCCAACCATAAAATTATCTTCGTTGCTATTGCATAACTGTAATGTTGCTACTGTTATGAATCGTCATGTAAATATCTGATATGCAGGATGGTCTTAGGCGACCCCTGTGAAAGGGTCGTTCGACCGCCAAAGGGCTGGAGACCCACAGGTTGAGAACCACTGACCTAGAAGGTCCATTTTAGCTTTCGTTCACAGTTTCTAATGACCTAGAGCAGTGCTCACAGTAGAACTTTCTGTGGTGCTGGAAATGGTCTATATCTGCCTTATAGGGTACGGTAGCCACTTGCAACCCAAGTGTGGCTAATTGGAATTGAGATGGGCGGTCAGTATAAAACACACACCGATTTTAATAACTTAGTACAAAAAAGTGAATGCAAAATATCCTATTAACACATATTGACGACATGTTTAAAGGATATTATTTTGGATATATTAGGTTGAGTAAAATATTTTATTAAAATCAATGCCACACCCTCGTGAGCATGGCTCAGTGGTTAGAGTGTCCGCCTGGGCACCGAAGGGTTGCGGGTTCAATTCCGGTCAAGGGCACGTACCTGGGTTGCAGGTTCGACCCCTGGCCCCAGTGCGGGAGGCAACCGATCAATTGATGTGTCTTCCTCACTTCGATGTTTCTTTTTCTCTCCTCCCTCTTTCTCTTTCTCTCTCCTCGCTCTTTTCTACTCTCTCTGAAAATCAATGGAAAAAAATATCCTCGGGTGAGGATTTAAAAAAATTAATTTCACTTTTTTAAGTGGCTGCCAGAAATGTTTAAATGGTTCCCATTCTGCTTCTATTGGATAGCACTGTCTATTTGGGAAGATTTCAGCCACCTCTGCATATTCTCAAATCAAGTACATGGCAGTGACGTGCTACACCCACAGGCTGTAAGATTCAATGACTCCCATAGCGTATGGGCCTCTGATTCTGATTCCAGATCTGAGGGTTTACCACTTCCTCTTCCTGTCCTGTCTTATGGCTATGAATCCTCAATGCAGAAATTCCCTTCAATTACGTTGATTCTATTTTGGTGATTCAGAAGCCGCTTCCGGCTGTTGTGGACTTGAAGTCAAGCCAGCCTTATATAGGCAGAAGTGGCTGCCTACATGTGCTGAGAAAAGCCAAAAATATCTTCTGCCCTTTCCCTGCCTATTGCCCCCATCTGCCCAAATCTTACACATCCACCCAGAGGCCTTTGGGCAATGACCAACATGGGTCTTAACCAGTCAGTTCCCTGATGCCAGTGCAGAAACTGGGCAAATGCTGGTGTCTTCCAGGGCACTGTGCTGCTCATCTCCAACCAGCACCGTCCCCTGAAATTTCCCAGGTGAGGGGACCCTGGTCAGGGATCTTGCCCAGTGGGCATCACAGAGACCTGTACAGTCAGGTCTCAGCAGCCCGAAACACACGCAGGCATAGCTGTCAGCCACGGTGAGAAGGAGCAAGCAGGAGCATCGAGCTGTTGTTTACTGGGCATTCTGCATACATTATCTCACTAAATCCTCAAGGCCACCCGAGAAATATTCTCCTTACAGCAGAGTCCACACAAGTTCAGAGAGGGATAGTGTGTTGTCCAAGATCACACAGCACACACAGTATGTGGAAACGTTGGGCCTCGTTTTCAAGGGGCTTCAACCTTCAGCTGGAGCAGAGTAGAAGCTGCCCTTAGTGAAGGTGTCTCCACGTGGCCGGGCACTGCTGTTTCCACCTGGGCAGCGGTGCCCCTCACCTTGGCTGGATGGCTCCACAGGCACATGCCTTTGCTGCTCCGGCCCATTGGGTGCCCCGTTCTCTGCACACTGGGTGCCTGGCCTGCCTTCCTGGAGGGGTTGTGATCTGGGAAGGATGTTAGGCTCCCTGTGGGCCCAAAGTGTCTCATTCAGTTGTGTCACTTCTCCTATCTGGGCCACAAGACATCCTCCTTCAGGCCTGAGCAAGTGACCCAGGCACCATGTCCTTATAAGGGAAAATGGCAGAGAGTCTGGAATGCAGCTTAAATGTCCCCTAACCAGCCCATCCTGCAGGGTGGGGACCTGGGGGCTCAGGAGAGGCCTTCTGGAGGAGGCAGTCCTACAGGCAGTGATGGGGCACAGAGGTGCTGGGAGAAGACAGCCTGGAAGTGTACCTGCAGGGTAATGACTGCAGCCTAGCACATACAGGGAACACACATTTATTGAGCAGCTACTATTTGCAGTGCCAGAGCATCACAAGGTCCTCATGAGTCTTAGGACTCCTTCCCTCCACACTAGTAGAGAACGGTGGTTGACCGGTTGACTTTGGAACAGGACTGTGGGGTATAAATTATGGTTTCACCTCTTAGCAGCTGAGTGGCTTGGTTAAGAGACTTAACTCTCTGAGTCTCAGTTTCCTAAACTGAAAAGTGGAAACAATAACAGCCCCTACTACGAAGGGTTGTAAATTGCTAGGATTCAATAAATTCATTTATAAACTGTTCAGATGCTAAGCAAGTGCTCAATAAATATTAACTATTATCACAATTATTCTCTTTTAAGAGGAGAAAACTGAGAGTAAGAGAAATGAGGTCACCTGCTTAAGGTCACACAGCTAGGGAGGGACAGAGCTGTGCTTTGAAGCCAGGTCCCCATTTGCCTAAAGACAGGAGGGGAGCTGGAGAGAAAGACGAAAGCCAATGATGGTTAGAGAAAAGTCTTCGCAGAAATCCAGTTGTCTCCCGTGGGTCCCCACCCTCTAAGAGGTGGGCTAAGGCTGCTCCTGGGACACCTAACTGTGGAAGGAAAGGGAAAGAGAAAGCTGAGCAGAGTTCTAGTCCCAGCACTGCCACGAATGAGCTGAATGGCTTCCCTGCACCTCAGTTTCCTCCTCTGTGAAATGGAACTAATTCCATCTTCCTGTTACAGGACTACCAGGACTAGAGATGTTGCTTGGGAAAGGCCCGTTCTCTCCTCCCACACCTTCTACCCACTCCTGCCTACCCGAGGAGGATGAGGCAGCTTGCCCAACCTCCTGGGAGGTGGGCCCCGGCAGGGCGGGACAGGCGGCCAGGAGGACTTAATTAAGGGCAGAAAAGCAGAAGTGACAGGCTTTCCCAAGTCTCAGAGGACGAAATTCCCCACACTTCCTCTCCACCTGCTGCCGCTGCCTAAGGCCTCCTGGCTGGCTCCGCTGCTATTCAGGAGGCATGAGGACCCTCCAGGGGACAGCTGCGCACCTCATCAGGACCGGGTAGGTCTGGAGACCTTGGATACTGGGAGCACCAGGCATCTGAGGTAGCGCCGAGGTCTCATGCTCTGCCATTCCCTGGCTGCATGCCTTTGGGTAAATCCTCACCTCATTGAGCCTCGTTTTCCCATTCATGGAATGAGAGTAACAGCAATGTCCGTAAGACTGTACTGAGAATCGAATGAGGAAGTGCTCATGTAGGACTTGCTGTTGTGCTTGGCTCAGAGTAAGCACTCAATAAATGGCAACTAAAATCCTTAGTGACCACGCTCAGCACAGGCCTTGGCACCCGATGACTTAGAACTGGTTTTCCATCCCAATACTGTTTAGTAGCTATTTATTCTCACAGCTACCAGGTTTCGAATACTAATGATACAGGAGGAGGTGGTTTAGTTCCAAATCAAAATGCCTTCAGGAGCTGGGGAGGTCATAATTCATTAACTCTAACCTCAAGTGGGTCCTCCATGGTGCCCAGCATTTCCTTTATTCATTTACTTTCCCACTTTCCTGGACAACTACCTTCTCCTGGATCTTCAAGCTTTCATTGCCTCCTCTGGCATCCTCACCATCAGTGCTGACCTTTCTGAGCAAACGGAAGCAAACATGCTACAGTCAATAAATACTTAGGGAGCACCCACTACATGCCAGGCACTATTCTAGGCACTAAGACATATCAGTGACCAAAAGAGACCAGGTTCCTGCCTGGTGGATGCTCTGGTAACAGACAACAGCTAACATGATACAAGTTGCCAGACACAAAATGACCCTATGTTGTACTACTTTTTTTTTTTTTTAAATATATTTTATTGATTTTTTACAGAGAGGCAGGGAGAGCGATAGAGAGTCAGACACATCGATGAGAGAGAAACACCGATCAGCCACCTCCTGCACATCCCCCACTGGGGACGTGCCCGCAACCCAGGCACATGCCCTTGACCGGAATCGAACCCGGGACCCTTCAGTCCGCAGGCCGACGCTCCATCCACCGAGCCAAACCGGTTTCGGCCTATGCTGTACTACTTTTATTGTACCATTCTATAGACGAGAAAACTGAAGTACAGGGAGGTTAAGAAACCTGGCCAAGGCCACACAGATGGTGAGTGGTGATTTGAATCCAGGCAGTCTGGAGTCATGCCTTTATTATTATTTTTTTTAATTAAATCTTTATTGTTCAGATTATTACATTTGTTCCTCTTTTTTCCCCCCATAACTCCCCTCCTCCCAGTTCCCGCCCCACCCTCCGCCCTCACTCCCCACCCACTGTCCTCATCCATAGGTGCACAATTTTTGTCCAGTCTCTTCCCGCATCTCCCACACCCCTTTCCCCCCCAAGAATAGTCAGTCCATTCCCTTTCTATGTCCCTGATTCTATTATGATCATCAGATTATTTATTCACTTGATTCTTAGATTCACTTGTTGATAGATGCATGTTTGTTGTTCATCATTTGTATCTTTACCTTTTTCTTCTTCTTCCTCTTCTTAAAGGATACCTTTCAGCATTTCATATAATACTGGTTTGGTGGTGATGAACTCCTTTAGCTTTTCCTTATCTGTGAAGCTCTTTATCTGACCTTCAATTCTGAATGATAGCTTTGCTGGATAAAGTAATCTTGGTTGTAGGTTCTTGGTATTCATCACTTTGAATATTTCTTGCCATTCCCTTCTGGCCTGCAAAGTCTCTGCTGAGAAATCAGCTGACAGTCGTATGGGTACTCCCTTGTAGGTAACTGAGTTTCTTTCTCTTGCTGCTTTTAAGATTCTCTCTTTGTCTTTTGCTCTTGGCATTTTAATTATGATGTGTCTTGGTGTGGTCCTCTTTGGATTCCTTTTGTTTGGGGTTCTCTGCACTTCCTGGACCTGTAAGTCTATTTCTTTCACCAGATGGGGGAAGTTTTCTGTCATTATTTCTTCAAATAGGTTTTCAATATCTTGCTCTCTCTCATCTTCTGGCACCCCTATAATTCTGATGTTGGTACGCTTGAAGCTGTCCCAGAGGCTCCTTACACTATCTTCGTATTTTTGGATTCTTTTTTCATTTTGCTTTTCTGGTTGGGTGTTTTTTGCTTCTTCGCATTTCAAATCTTTGCCTTGATTCTTGCGCTCCTCTGGTCTGCTGTTGGGAGTCTGTATAGTATTCGTTATTTCAGTCCGTGTATGCTTAATTTCTAGTTGGTTCTTTATCATAACATCGAGGGTCTCATTAGATTTCTTAAGGATCTCACTACATTTATCGACGGCTTCTAGACAGTTCTTAAGAGACCTTAAAAGTGTGGTTCTGAACTCAATATCCTCCATTGACAGTTTTGTCCTGTTTCTTTGTCTCCGCATTTTTTATGCTTTCTTGGTGCACCCCCTAGTGGTCTTTGTGTGCAGTCTTGTTGTAGTTAAGCCTTGATTGTTGTCGGCAATACTGGGGGTGATTTGACCTCCAGGCTAACTGGCTATGAGAGTCCACTGTGTCTGCAGTGGGAGAGCTTATGTGCTGGATCTCTAGGGTGGTGCTAATCTAGCGTTTGCCTGAGGCTATCCGGCAAATGGCTCTGAGCAGGGCTTGGGCGGGACGGGTCCCCGGGGATCTACAGGGCGGGCCGGAGTGAGCAGTTATGGCTGCTCTCAGTTCCGTCCCTAGGGGCTCTGCCTCACAGAATCCCAGAAACCGCTGCAAACCTCGGAGAGAAAGCTGCCTTCGAGTTCTGACCGAAGCCAGACAGTCCCGCTTCTCCCGTTTGAGTCTGGGTCCCTAGAGACTCGCCCTGATCTGGAGCTCAGAGTCTGAAACTCCCTCCCGATTGAAAACAGCAACCGTGCCCTCCGCCGCCAGCCCGCTCTGCGCGCACTCCGCACCTGAGTATTACACTTCAGCACTGCGCCTCCTCTGAGTCTGGGTATGATATTCTCTTTCCTCCTAGTTGTAGAATTTCCACTCAGCCAGCCTTCCTGTGGTTCTGGATGATGTCCGTTCCGTCTTTTAGTTGTTTTTTGAAGTGGTTGTTCGAGGCAGCAATCTCCGGCGTTAACCTATGCCACCATCTTGGTTTCTCTGGAGTCATGCCTTTAACAATTGCAGTGTTCTGTGCATATCTGATGATGCTGATATATAATTGCCCACACTTTGCCTGTCCACCTACCATCATCTGTACCCATTTCCTCTGCCTTCCCACCTGCTAGTAAGAACGAATGGCCCCTGCTTCTTCCTAGGACCAGCCCCACCTGTTGTGCTCTTGGTCTCACCCCTGCCACCCATGAATATCCCTGCAGGGAGCCTCCCCTTCATCACTGTCCCCCTCTTTAGTGGACCTCCCACCTGCAAGCCTGCCAGAGCTTCTTCCATCTTAAGTGAATTCTCTTGGTCACATTTCACCCATCGGCTACTGCATCTTTCTTGATCCACCAGCAGCATTTGACATTGTTGACCGCTCCCTTCTTCTTGGAACATTTTATTACTTGGCTGTTCAAGCACCACATTGCCTGGTTTCTTGGTCTCCTTCGCTGGTTCTTCACCTCCCAAACTGTTAACCCTAGAGTTCAAGGGCTCAGTCCTTGGATCTCCCTCCTCCTCCTCCTCCTCCTCAACACACGTCTTGAGGAATCTCATCCTGCCCCTTGATTTAAAATACTATGGATAAACCAACAACACCCAACATTCTATCTCTAGCCTGATCTCTCCTCTAAATTCCTGATTCGTGTTTCCAACCACATACTCAACAGCTCCACTGAAAGGCTAAATTGGCAACTTAAATTTCAGACTTTCAACTGAATTCCTTCTCTCCCCACTTCACTCAAACCTGCCTGAACCATAGATTTTTCTGTCTCAGGAAATGACACCTCGATGCTTACAGTGCTCAGGCCACCAAACCTCATGGTCCTCTTTCTCTCACACCCACAGCCAATCAGTCTGTCAATTTTATTGACTCTTCCAATAAAACATATCCAGAATCCAACCTCTTCTTATAATTCCTCTGCAGTCACTCTTTAGTGTAAGCTCTGTAAGGGCAAGGATTCTCATCCATTTATTCATACCTGTTTCTCCAATGGGTGACACATAGTAGTTGATTTAAAAATATTTGTTGAATAAATAAATATAAGGAAAATAGATAAGTTTCTCAGAGGTCAACGGATCCACTCTCCCTTTCTCTTCTCCCCCCAAATTATAAAAGAGACACTGAGGTTTAGAAAGAAGGCATGTTCAGTGTCACACAGTGCCAACAGTGAAACCGTGTCTTTATTTTTCTCTTTCTCATTCTATCTCTTTTATTTGTGCTTCTCTCTTCATGACTCTTTCATTTTCTTGGGACAGTTGCCCTCACAAAATTGGGATTATGGACGCAAGCATCCTCCCATCCTCAGGAACTGCATACAAACTGGGTTCTTCCCTGAAAACTCCAGTGTGAATAATCCTGGGGAAGGCTCTGATTGGTTCAGCTTGGGTCAGGTGGGTCTGGGGTGGGTTACTCTAATTGGCCCAATTGGGAAGACTGCCCTCTCCTTTGGTTAACGGGATGGAGCCTGTTAGCAGGTGAAGGGTTTGTGGGGCAGAGACAATGGGCAGGCACCCAACCCCCACCCTCCTGATAAAGGTTCCCCCAATTTCTTGTGTGCAGGTGGAGATTCTGGCTCTTGGGGCTCTGCAAGGCCCTTGTCCCACTGCAGGCGGCCTGGGCTGCCTTCTCTCAGCCTGTCCCAGCCAGCTATGACCAGCTGTTGATCCAGCTTCTCCTGTGTGGTTCCCTAGCTGTTGCTGCTGCAGGTCTGGCCCACCACTGGCTAGTGTCCTCGCTGCTTTATCCTCTGGGGCCCTCGGCCATGGTGGCCTCTCTCTGTGGCCTCCTGGTCTTACTAGGCCTGGGCCTGGTGCCTCCAGCTCGCTGCCTGTTTGCACTCAGCGTGCCAACTCTGGGCACAGCACAGGGCCGCCGCCTGCTCCTATCCTGGAGTACTGCCACCTTGGCTGTCACCGTGGTGCCCAATGTCTTGGCTAACGTGGGCGCAGCTGGACAGGTGCTGAGGTGTGTCACCGAGGGCTCCCTGGAGAGTCTTCTCAACACCACTCACCAGCTACACACAGCGTCCAGGGCTCTGAATCCCACTGGCCGAGGCCTGACACTCCAGGCCCAGGGCAATGGCTCTGTCTTCCGGCTTCACATGCTCAAGGTCACTCAGCAGGTCTTGGAGGACTTTTCTGGCCTGGAGTCCCTGGCCCAGGCAGCAGTGCTGGGCATCCAGCGGGTGGTGACAGGACTCTTTATGCTGGGCCTCCTGATAAACTCAGCCCGGTATCTCCATTGCTACCTGACTGACCTGCGGTTTGATAATGTCTACGCCACACGGCAGTTAGCCCAGCATCTGGAAGAGACTGGGGCCACACACCTGCTGACCTCCCCACCAGCCTGGCTGCTCAGGGCGGCTTGGCCAAGGCTGTCCCAGGGGGAGCTGCTGAGCTGTCTACTAAGGCTGGGGCTGCTCACCCTGCTTCTGGTGGCCACAGCGGTGACCGTGGCCACAGACCACGTGGCCTTCCTCCTGGCACAGGCAGCCGTGGACTGGGCTCAGAAGCTGCCTGCTGTGCCCGTTACACTCATGGTCAAGTATGATGTAAGTGTGGTGGTGGGAAGATGGGCATAGAATCATTTTCTTGAGGGAAGGGGAAGGGTTCGTGAAATCCCTGACTTGCAATTGAATTTTACTTACCTTCAAGTCAGAGTCCTGGGATAGGCTGTGGGACCTGGGGCATCCGCCGATGAACTTATTTAATTCCCACTACAACATGACACAGTGTTTCTGTTCTCACCCCCTACTGCTTCTGTGCCCATTTTGCAGATGAGGGCAGGGAAAGTTGAGCGGGCCCTGAAAGCGGCAAGTGGTGGGGGGCAGGGAATGGCTAGAACATCTGTCGGTTGACTTGGCCTTTTTCTCCTTTACGAAGGCTGCCTACACCGTCCTGGACTTCGTCCCCTTCCTCTTCAACCAGCGGCCTCTGGAGAAACCCTTCCACTCTGCCCACAGGTCCTTCCAGTGGGAGCTCCGCTTCACCTCCCCTGGCTGCCCGCTGCTGCCCGCCCAGCGCCCCCTCACGGCCGCCCCCCTGGCCGCGGGGGTCCTGCAGCTGGTGGCTTGTTCCACGGTCCTCCTGGAGACCTACGCCTGCCGACTGCGGCACACCATCGCAGCGTCCTTCTTCACGGCCCAGGAGGCGAGGAGGGTCCACCACCTTCATGCCCGGCTCCAGCGGAGATACGACAGGAACCGAGGCCAGCAGCTGCCCCTGCAGGCTCCTTCCTGATCCCCACACCTGGACCTGCCAGCCAGCACCCAACATGGATAGACATGCCTGGACGTACTGGACCCCTGGAAGAACAGAGAGCCCTGGAGAAGAGGGGAAAGATGTTTGGAGTCACACAGACCTAAGTTGTCATCTTGGCCCTTCTGCCGCCTCCCTGTGTTACCTTGGGTGGTGGCTGCACCTCTCTGAGCCTCGTTTTCAGCAGCCACATAATGACAATGATGCGAGCTACTTTCCACACGGGAATGTGGGAAGGACAGAATGAAATATTGGGCATGAAAGGCCCCCGTACACAGAAAAGAGCTATGCCAAGTGGAAGGCAAGGAAGCGCAGAAATGGCTCAGGGCTTCTCAGGCAGGTGGGAGTCGGTCAAGGCTCTCACCCGCATCAACGTTACCTGGCCAGTGGAGACTTTGCTTGTGAATGTGCCTAAATGCGCCTGGAACTTATTTATGTGCCCCCGAACCCTCTGAACTTACTGACTGTAATCTACAAGTGTCCTCATTTTATAAAGAATATATTTATTAAATCCTAAATTAGGTTAGGTTACTCTTTTGCTTCAAACTCCTTTATGGGCTGTCAGGTTTAGCAAATGAAAATACAGAACACCAGCTTCCATTTGATTTTCAAACAACGAATATGGGTTTAATGTCCTTGTGACATATTGTTCTTATGCTAAACATCCTTAGAATGTGCCCATATTGGTTGTGGGTCTGAAATTCAAACTGGACTGGTTAACCTGCACTTTATCTGACAACGCGATCCCCATCCAAGTTATAATACATTGCGATTCCCTGGGGGGCTTGGTACCCCTTGTTTTCCCCTCCAGATTATTATCTGCCCTTCTCCCACCTGCTGTCTTTCACAGGGGTCTGACCTTTGTGAGTCCGGGAGTCATAATACCCTGGCTCCCTTGCCCTTGGTTGGACCCGGTCCATGAGAGGCACTGATAGGCCGTCCAAAGTGGGAGGGGAGAGAGAGGCCAGGGTATTGGCTCCTGCCGCCCTCTGGGCTGTTACTGGGCAGAGGCCCCATCCCATTAGCTGCTAATGATTAGCAGGAACAGGCTGTTTTCTGATGCTTAGTGGGAAAACCTAGTTCTGGCGTTCTTGAAGCTAGGTTTCAGAGGAACGTAAAAATGTTGAGGATCATTAGCATTTTGGTGGACATTTGCTAATCTGTAATCTTCGTTTCTCATCTATAGTGTTGGGTGAAATTAATAGTCAACTTTTCTTTTTATTTTATTTTTAATATATTTTATTGATTTTTTACAGAGAGGAAGGGAGAGAGATAGAGAGTTAGAAACATCGATGAGAGAGAAACATCAATCAGCCGCCTCCTGCACATCTCCCACTGGGGATATGCCCGCAACCCAGGTACATGCCCTTGACCGGAATCGAACCCGGGACCTTCCAGTGCGCAGGCCGACGCTCCATCCACTGAGCCAAACCGGTCTCAGCAACTTTTCTTTTTATTAATGGTTCATGTCAATCAACCAAGCTCTATAATTAAAGCAAAAGCTATTCAAAGAATCCCTCTGCTAGAGGCGGCGCCGCGGTGCCTTATGGGGAATGTAGTCAGGCAAGGCATCAGGCGCCCTTTGGGGATTCCTGGGAAGAGCGCCGGGAAGCCTCTTCTGCGCATGTGCCCTTAGGTTCTCTACCTGGGCGCCCCTCGGGTTCGCCAGGCTCTTGCGGGGGTTCCCCTCATTTCACCTGACCTGGTGCGAACTCAAAGCGAAGTGGGTGCACCCACCAGTCAGAGGAGGGGCTTGCGGGGAGCCGCCAGCCCTCGGGGGTCGGAGGGGAGGGGCGGGAAGGGTTGGGCGGGTGCTGGCTCTCCAACCAGGGAGGGAGCCCAGAGCGGTTTCGATCCCGGAGAAAGGCAGCGAGGGCCGGGCTGGGCTCCCGACCTGCAGGCGCCCTGACCTTCTTTGCCTGAGGAAGGTGCTCTATGAAGATGAAAGGTTTGTGCAGCCATGTGGCCAAAATCTGGTTCCAGAAGTTTTACGGAGGCGCTTGGATCTGCAGCCTGTGTGGTGGTTTGAAAAGAACTAGCGAGCAGCAGGGAAGGGAACAGCTATTTATTGAGAGTTAAATACTATCATCATATTACTTGTCTTATCCTACGTCTTTATTAGAACAGAGATCTGAACCGCAGCTGAAGGGAATGGCCATGGTGTAGATTTGCCTGGGAAAGATTTGAGGGTGGGAGGTGTTGGCAGCGTTGCATGAAGTTTTAAGAGCTTGATGTTTGGGTTCAGATCAGGTCCTCCCACAAAACGGCGCGGCATCCCTGGGGACATGAATTAGAGGAATCCTGTTTCCTCGCCTGTTCAATGAGCATGGGAATAATATTTGCACCTGTGAGGGTGGTTCTGAGGCAGAGTGAGCTCGCACCTGTGAGGATCAAGCCCAGCATTTAATACGCCCTCCATCATCCCCTGCTGTCAGTGTTATCAAGATCTTTAGATACTTCACTCGGTCCTTCCAACCAGGCTGCGAGGTCGGCAGTACCATCCCTATCGTAGCATATGTTAAAACCTCACTTGCAGAGAACTAACATGATTTACTCACTTGGGCATGACTCGAGTTTCAAAACAAGATTTACTCATAGTTTCATGGTCTTCTTAGTATACATTCTCCTCTACCTATACCCATTGGGTTTTCTCTGACACAATGACTTGTTCTATGTGTGTCCTAGGAAGCAACTAGCGATATATTTCGATAACCAAACCATTTGGTCTATTTCCCTTGGTCACAAGGCACAAATTGAGGCTTCTAGTTCCTGCCTGCCTGCTGCAGTGTTGTCTCGCTCCAAAGCAGCCCTCATTAGATTTTAGACAAGGCCCAGCTCATCAGGCACTTGAACCTTGGGATTCCAAGGGCAGGTTCCAATTCAATGAAAATGTGGCTCCTAGGCCCAGGTTGAAACAAAACCATTCCAGTGAAGTGGAAAGCAGAAGGCCCCCGGGAACAGGAACCACACCTAGAAGAACATGCTTCTGAGCTGAAGCCTTGCCCTACAATTCCAGCATGGAAGCAGAGGAATCCCTGAAAGGAGCACATCCAACAGTTATTGGGCCAGAATTTTCCTCTCCGTTGTGAGCAAAGTCTGGGTGGTCACACCATGTTCAGGGATCATTGATTATTGTGGCTCAGCAAAGCGGGAGGAGGATGTGAGCTGCCACTGAGGGAAGGGCATGGGCAGGGTGCAGGTCTCACAGGAAAAGACACTTCATTGGAGGATTTGTGAGGAGGTGGGTGGGAGGGAAGGGGTACCACCCATAGCTAAGGAAATTGTCCCTCACCATTTTCTAAACACATCAGCCCTTACAATCTGCACTCTGTCTTTCTGTTAATTTTTAGTTGCTCAAACCCTGTTCATCACCAATCCAGGGATTCACCGAATTTCCCCCTTATAAAATCACACTGTGGAGATAGTTTTTTAATCTATTACTTTTGCCTTAAACTTAGGACTTAGAAGATAAATAGCTTATCCAGTCATGCAGTTTGCTAGTGGGAGAGCCAGAAATTGAATTCAGGTCTTGATTCCCAGATGGGGACCCTGTCCTCTACCACATTTAAGTTAAAACACATTTCTTAGAAGACGAAAAAAATCCTCTTGAAAAACTGTAACTAAGGGGACCACGCAAAAGGATAAGCTTGCATTGCTTTTTTCTGCGCTTCTGGATTCTCTGATGGCAAGTGGCTAAAAATATAGGAAAACAGGTAAACTGAGATCCTGTGCCAGTAAATATTTTAATCCTAAAATCAATCTGGAATAGTACCCCAAACTTTGTGTTTAATACTATATTTTATTTGCCCAACCTCCTGTTATTGGGCTTAGGTTGTTTTTAATATTTTCAAAGGCATATCTTAACAATAATGCTGTAGAAAACAGTTTACATTCACTCAGTATGAAAGTTCTGTGTGCTCATTTTAGAATTATAAATGGACACCTGGATATTGCCTCCATATGTTGTTTCCTGTATTTTCCGGTGCCAGATTGGTCAGAGGGCCGTTTTCTTGATAGGTGATTCTAAGAGCTGCTATCTTAGACAGATTGCTCATGATTCCATCCCCCATTCTTCCTTACCCAGCTCTGGCATCATCACTCTTGGCCCTTTCTCAAGAACATCTGAAAATGAACAAATCCTAGGTAAGTTGTTGAGGAATTTACTTCCCATATTCTACAGAGGATTTCAGAGAGGCTTATAGTAGTTTGTACATTCAGAGAAAATAGTAGAAATATGTAAAATTCAGCATTCAAGAAAAGAATATCAGATGAACTCTGGAAAAGTTGACATACAGAAATCATGTGTTCCTGTAGCTTTATTCAAGTTGTGCCAGAAAGGCCCAGACAATATGAGATAAGTCTTACCTAGGCTATTAGTATGGTTTTCCTGTCATTTAAATGTGAACAGTTTTCTTAGACAATCTTTGAATTAGTGACACAGAGGCCATTCTTGCCAAAAACAGCTATGAAAGAAAGGCAATGGGTTTCCTGTGACTTTTACACCGAGGCAAAGCTCAGGACAGTGATCAAAACCAGGGTATTAGCATTGATACTATTACCTGTCTTATTTAAATTTTTCCAGTTATCCCACTAATGTCTTTTTCAGGTCAGGGATCCAACCTAGGATCCCACATTGCATTTGGTTATGTCTGCTTAGCCTCCTGCAATATAGAACAGTCTTTAACCTTGGCACTACTGGTCACTTATTTTATGGAATTCATCCTAGCCTTTCCTTTTCCTTATTTGTAACTGCTCTAATAGGGAGAACCTGGCTCTTATCATCTACATTATATTTACTTATTTGCCCATGAGGTAGTTTAAGAATCACTGATCCAGCTCTAGCTGGTTTAGCTCAGTGGATAGAGCACCGGCCTGCAGACCAAAGGGTCCCAGGTTTGATTCTGGTCAAGGCCCTGTATCTTGGTTGCAGGCTCCTCCCTGGCCTGGACCCTGGTCAGGGCTCATGCAATGTGTTTCTCTCACATCGAGGTTTCTCTGTCTTTTCCTCTCTCTTCGACTCTCCCTAAAAATCAATGGAAAAATATCCTCTGGCGAGGATTAACAAAACAAACAAGAAATCGCTGATCCACACCCCATGTGAAAACAAATTCCTTAACTAGAGTATCTTTGTGTGCAGTTCTCATCTTTAGACTTACAGAATGTAGTCAAATACTCTTTTCCAAAAATATTTTAGTTCTTATACATCGCCTTCACTGCAGTTATGTTATTTAATTTTAGTACACAGCAGGTCCTTGAATAACATTTTGTTCAACATGGTTTCATTATAATATTGATGAGATGCTATAGGAACTTCTTTTAAAAATATATTTTTATTGATTTCAAAGAGGAAAGGAGAGGGTGAGAGAGAAACATCAATGATGAGAGAATCATTGATCGGCTGCCTCATGCACGCCCCCTACTGAGGGTCGAGCCTTCAACCCAGGCATGTGCCCTTGACTAGAATCAAACCTGGGACCCT